TTCTTGACGTACTTGTCAATTTAATACAATCTTCTTGACTGAAATTATGCAACTACATATTCATGTTAAGGTTTGTGGCCTCGCCCTAGCAGAAGAAACTTAGTTTTGCATAATTATAATCAAATTAATCAAAGAAAATATTACTAAGAAGAGAAAGTTGGAAAACACATTATATTGAAGTATAAAATCCAAGCCTACATTGAGTTTTCTCTCAATGTCGCTTAAAAAAAAAAAGGTTAAGGCATGGATGCACTTTATATATTATTCCTAATCCTACCTCAATAAGGTCTTCTTGAAACTAGGAAATAAAATAAATTAGGATAACCTAAAGAGTACAATCCTAATCTAACTAGGTAATATGTCCATCCATAAATTCTTTATGTTTCTGACTGAAACCAATACGAAATTTGGCTCAAAAGGTCTTGTTACGAATATTAGACCATCTTCCAGAACTCTGTAGAAGGGCCCAACTTAAAAAAACGTCATTTTTACTGCCCTTGGAACCTAATTAAGCCTGCAACAACAATATGGCACTTCGCACTTGTTCTTTAATACATTGCCATAATTTTTTTAAACAAACGATATTAGCTACACTAAGGGAGAGGGATGACCTCGTCATAGTTAAACATCTTGGAATATGATGCTGAAATTCTGATACGATCTTCTTGACATACTTGTGAATTCGCTCCAGTTGGAAATTCCCCAAAACTCCATTATTTCATCGGCTTTTTTGCATAGAGTAAAGTTATATGTCCTACACTTAAAATATAAAATAAAGTATCAAAATTTCACCAAAATAATAACCAAAATATAACTAAGAATAAAATAAACTATATAATATGAAATCAACACTTTAGATCATTTTATATCTCGGTCATGGCAAACATGGCATTTATCCAACTCTTTGTTCTCCTTATAGAACAATATACCATTATTTACACATGCATGAATTTTTTTCAAACACCAATCCGAGATCCTCAACACCTTCTGTGCACTTTTATAACCTTTAGGTAAATAATTGTTCTTTGGAAGCATCCTCTTCAAAACCCTGATAAAGTAAACAAAACACCAGCTTGACCTATGAAACTTGATTTTGCCATGCATCAACACTATAATGGTCATGAGTACCAAAAATTGTTCCTAAGTTAGGTATAATTCTTGCTTAGAACTTTTCACTAGTCTTTCGTACTTCTCGAATGCTTCACTATCCATGGTGGGAGACACGTCATCTCCTACTTACTTATTGTCATTGCTTGAGGTGTATGGATAAGCGTCATTTAAAATATCCATGACTTGGTCATTAACATCCACACTAGATTCAATAGTCTCCACTCGTGATTGGTACGAAGACAAGGCATTGTCTAACCGCTCCACATGATAATTCCATCATGTGTAGGTCTGCATAATCCCATTTTTTACCAAATGATATCGAACATTTCCAATATCTCCCATTTTGAGTTGTTACTTTCTGACCTAGACACTTGATTTGAGTTGAACCCTGGTTGTGTCCCTTTGCAAAGTTAATAAAATGATCTATCACATCTAAATATTCATTAGCAACTCTGTTCGGATTCTATATGCACTGTTTGTCCATTTTGTGTGTTAACACATTAAATATGCAAGGATTAGAACAAGTTCGACTATGTCGTGTCATTTTATGCGCTATAATTCACGGCTCCACCAAGATTAGATTTTGTCATGAAAAAATTTCGGCAGCATCTCCATATAGTTTTCCAATTACATGGTGTAGATATCAAATACCTAATATGCTCTCGAAGACAGTAATGAAATGTTACCAAAAATCCCACGATTGAAACCTAATCCGTGAATTGTAAAATATGACACGTAAATGTGTACTCCCAAACTGTAAAAAAATGGGACAATTCAAGAATCAATTGGATTGCAGTAATGAATTCGCATCCATGTGCTAAATCCAACTAATATCAAACGGAAAACTAAGTTTTCTTGAACAAATGCTTATGAAGTTAAGTACTATAACTTTGTACAGCACAAAATAAATTTGTATGTGGTGTACAAAAATATTTGAATACATAAATGTAGTACTTCTATCAAACTACTACATAAAATAAATTAAATTAAATCACAAAAAAAATCAAGAAATTAATTTCAAATTCGTTATGCACCAATAATCGTCAAGAAACCTATAGAAAACAAACTTAATTTTGTTATTTTTAGTTCAAAATTAAAAGAAATATATTACGAAATCAAAATTACCGTTATTGCTTTCAAGTGAGTGGATGGACAAATTTCACGTGAAGGCCGAAGGAGCAGTAAGATGAATAGAGTGTGGATTATAAGGCAAGAGAGAGGGAAAGAGAGAGGCGAAGAGAGGCAGCTATCAGATTTTTCTAGTTAAACACTTTTGAAATCTACCTTTCGCGATTGGAGAAGATGGTTAAATACACGAAGTTTTTGCGCAACGAAGCATTTTGTCACCCAAGCCAAACCCTAGTTGCATTCGGGCTTTAGGCAACACATAATTCGTCGCATAACGACACTTTGGGCGACGAAATAATGATTGTTGTGTAAAGGTTTCTACATTCTTTATTTTGTTTTAATTTTATTATTCTTTGTTTTATTATTATAAATCTATAATAGAAATTAAGCAAATAAAATATTTAAAGCATATAAAATATTATATTAATCTGGATACAAATTAGTAAATTTAGTAAATTCGTCGCCTTCACATATTTAAAGCGTACATCTAAACCAAATTAAATATTACTATCTTAATCAAAATAAACAATGACTGTGGTGGTGGTGCCTGGGCAGCTTGATCGGCATAATGCTTCGCCTCTTGTAACGCCTCTGGAAGATGTCATCGTTGTAATTTATCGTGTAAGTATTGATATCATCAATAATAAAGTACGCATGTTATGCACAAAATTATGAAAATGTTAATAACTAAATTACTAATTAACACTTAGTGATGGGTCATTCAACAATGACTTCTTCATCCCCTTGGGTAGACCTGACATTCATGTCTTGTTTCCTGTGTTTGTGTTATACCCAATATCTTAACATGTTGTGTCGTGTAACACCCGGTAAAATGAACGGGTAATATGATCCGACCCGTTACCTGTTAAAGAAAATATATTTTAAACCAAATAAATAATCAAATGAAAAACATAATACTAAAGTAATACATACATACCACATTATTACATAAATATTACTTCAAAACATAAAAACACATTTGTCTTCCAAGTACTAAGGGCCACTTATACATACCCCAAAATAAAAGCATAATGAAAAAACATTAGTATTTGCACTCGTAAATTAATGATTACAATTTTTTTAACGTGTTAAGTATTTTTAAACCACTTTGATATTTTTATTTTTTAATGTTTGTATAATGTTTTAATCTCACTTTTAAGAGAGTAAAACATTTATGAGTATGACTATATAAGAAAGAGTAAAAAACTATATGTACTATTAATCTGTAAAATTTATCCCAATAATGATAATAAAAATATATAAATAAATAAAACTTAGTTTCTTTTGAACTTATACAGAATAATAATACATATTTAATATACAATATATACATTACGGCTATTGAATTTTATAGTAAGTTTTTTTAGTAGTTTAACTTTAAAATCATCAAAATCATTTTTTTTTTCTTAACAGGTCAAATGGGTGGCCCACAAGATACCTGCTTGTAAACCCATTAATGATCCTTTGTTAATGGGTTCTTAACATGTAACTCAATAACGACCACATTAGTTATTGTGTTAATCTGAAACCTTTTTTTTTGTGTCATTTTTGTGTCGTGTAAGAAATTGCAAGGTCTATCCTCAGACACTTCTTCCAGGACGACCATTGCATAAGGCAATGGTTCTGCACTAGCTTGAAGTGCACCTCCCTCTCATAATCTATTTGCCGCATGGTATCACAGTTGAAGTGCATCCGGTGATCATTCATCACATGTCTGATTGTGCGAGACCTTCTTTTTTGTTTTCCTACGAAAAAAGAATTTGTTCAAAACCAAACCTAAAATTCCACCAAAAAATTTGTTCATAACCTCCCATAAAAATAAAAATTTCGCATAAACTCTAAACTTTGATATACATAATGTCCACATCCAACCAATATTTGCAACAACCAATCAAGCATAATAATCAACTTTTAATTTAATTATGCAATTAAACTTTGCAACAAAAAACAACCTTAAAGTTCATACAAATTGAGTATTACCTGTCTGTGATCCTTCTCCCTTACATATGTCACAATCGGAGCATCGCCAGATGCGTGCTCATCTGGAGAAACAACGAAACAGTGGAATCCGATGTAATTACCAAACATGGCATCTACAAAATTATAACCACAATTATCATAATTAAACAAAAAAAATCAGTTCCACTTGGGAGAAAGATAGAATTATTGTGGATACCTTTGATCGTCGACACTAAGAGTGGGAAAAAGGAAAGAATGAAGATTTGGCAGTTGGGATAGAAGGACTTTTTGGAGTTCGGGGAGAAAGAAACATTGGGATTTGGGGGAGAAGATGAGGAAGAGAGGAAATGAGGAGAGAACGCTGTGGACTTGGGATTTAAACATAACCCCGTGAACCCTTGTGTGGCAAAGCTCTTCGTCTCCTCAAGTGCCTTCTTCATCGCCCAATAAATTTCTGCCATTACTGTTCCACCTAAATTTCTGGGGCTTTGCAAGGTGAATCTGGAAAGGCATTCCTCATCTTGTTTTTCCTAGGCGACGAAACCTTTCGTCGTTCAAAATTTGAAGCCAAATTATCATTTTAACGCGTATTTTTCCAGTTCTTGCCTAACGAGCAAAAATATTCACCAAGCAAATGTAGGTTGCACAAAATTTGTTGTCATGGACATTTTGAGTGACGAACAACAGTTGTCGTCGTGCAAACATGTCTTGTGCAGCGAAATTTATTTCATAGCCTACAGTGTTGTCACTCAAATAGTTTTTCCTACTAATAATTGGTAATATTGTAAGAGTGTTTCATTTAAATAGACGGTTTTTGTACCAATTTCCCACCCCAACAAAATATCTATTAAGGGTAGAGAGGTTGGGGAAAAGAAAAACTGTTGCTAATAAAGATAAACGTTACACGACAAACTTGACAAAATGTGGGACATGACCGAAGTGTAAAAATTTGAAAATGTGGGGTAAATTGGGTAATTAAAAAGTTAAGAGAGTAATTTCGCAAATTTGTGTAATTTACCAACTAATATTCGTAAGAATTGGGAAAAATTTCTTTAGTGTTGTCTTACAAGTTATAAAATGTTATTTACCCACTTCTTCCTTCATCTCGTCTTTGAAAAAAAAAAGAAAAGTAAAAGAAAGCTCACTTTTTGCGACAAGAAAATGAAACTCACTTTTATTAGGAAAGAGATTGACCAAATTTCTAATTTAAGGTAGTCTCTTCCCTCCTTATTGTGAGCTAAACCCTAACTGTAGGGATCCCCTCTCAAAAAAGATGCGACACCACAAATTTGAAGGGCCTATTTTTAAATCCTCTTTGGGACATATGTTTTATAAATATGCACAATCTCATCTCCCATTTCAATCAAACATCTCTTAATTAAACATTCTCTAATACTACAACATCCAAGAGTACTTTTCACATTGAGAAACAAAAATGGCGTTCAACAAGAAGCTTTTGTTCTCCATTTGCTCCGCCACATTAGTGTTCACTCTTGTCTCCGCCCTTTCCCCTGAAGAGATCAAAGCCGCCATGGATGAACACAACCACCCCCGTGCTGAGGTTGGTAACGCTCCACTCAAGTGGAACGTGACCTTAGCCCAGTACGCTAAAGAATATGCTGACAAAAGAGTTGGCGACTGCGCAATGGAGCACTCAATGGGGCGTTGGGGTGAGAACTTGGCCTCAGGTGCCGGCATGAGCGCCGCCGATGCCACCAAATATTGGGTTACCGAGAAGGAGTTCTATGACCACAAATCAAACAAATGTGTCAAAGAGGAATGTGGTCACTACCTTGCTGTGATTTGGGGCAAAACCACCGAGGTCGGATGTGGCGTTTCAAGGTGCAACAATGGAGTGAACTACGTCGTTTGCAGCTACGATCCCATGTACCAGCCGGAGGACGAACGTCCCTACTAGACACATTTTTCAAAGATGTCGATCATGACAAATATTTGATAACAAATCCAGGGAGGACATCCTGCTTAAATTATTAACCTAGAAATAAATTGGGGATGAGAGACCGTTAAAATGTAACTGGTGTATAGAAATACATCCGGACTCTCAAGATCCCTTATGTGACTAGCACATGATCCTTTATTGTGAAAGGTAACGACACAATAATTATTAAAAAATGAAAAAAATACAAAGTATTATTTTTTTGTAATTTTATACTATTCATTTTTCTTCTTCTCTATACCTCTATCATCCTCGTTTGCTATTTTGCATTGGTTTCTTTGTGGTTGAAAAAAGGAGATAAGAAACAAATGTAATATCAAACAATCAACGTTAAGAAAGACATGAGCTTAATTAAGTTGACTAAAGCAGTGTACTCTCTCTACACAAGTTCAAATCTCTATCTCCGTATTTAAATGAATTTAGTGTAAATTATTCCATCATTTGTTAAAAAAAAAAAAAAAAAAAAAAAAAGAAAGAATGCTAAGATTTCTAATCTTTTAAGATTTATAAAATTACAAGTGGGATAATAACTAAACACGATAAGAAGTGAAAGTTGTATAGGAACTTTTATTTGAACTGAACATATTGTAAAGGTACGTTGAGATCTCACCTAATTCTGGATTGAAAATTTTGGGTAAGATTGTGGTTGTGTAACGGGGGTAAGGAGTGCGGGGTTGATGCAACGTGGTTGGAAAAATTAATTATGATTTTTCGGGGCTAATTTCATGCTGTCAAATAGTATTCTAATATTGGGAATTAAAACTTCTATACTAATATTAATACACATGCTATAGAGGCCATGATCCAGTCGAGAAAAATATAAATAATATACACAATACTATATTATTTACTAGTATTTAGAAAGTAGTTAAAACGCCCCAACCCTTTAGTGTCATTTTAAATTGATCTCAACGTTTTTTAAACATTCCAAAGAAGTATTTAATTTATTGAAAATATCACATCCGTTAAGTCTCAATTAAATTTATATTAAATTAACTAGGGGCTTACGTTGTCTCCAACATAAATATAAGGTCATGGAAGCATGACTTCCAATAAGTAATAGTCACCACCACTCCTTTCAGGCCATCACACCCAAACCCAGTGCATAAATAGAATTATAAAACTAATTTAAACATCCATAAAACCAGGGGAAAAAAAAAAAAAACCAACTCTGCCGGTGGTGCTTCTCCATCACAGGTCATATTTCCACAGCCAATAATGCCTCTTAAATATATCATCCACAAAACTCATCAGGTTCAGCTCCGTTTCATCAACAATATGCCACTTCTTTTATACAAACAAATTAATTCAAAATTAAACATTATAATATATTATATAACAAAAACAATTACTAATATATTAACTCTGACCACTTACTGCTAAGTCATCCAACATAAACTTCTTCCATTCGTCCGCACCTTCTTCTAACAAAAATAATTACTAATATTAACTCCCACTCACTATTTGGTTTGTCTGTAGTTCTTCACCTCTTCCGCTTCTCCATTTGTTTGTTTGTTTAGTTTGGATCAGTATGTTCGGTTGTCGTTGATATTGAAAAATGACTGTGCAAAGTTGGCTGTCGTGGAGAACAAAGCCAGAAGTTTTTGCGTGCCGCCTGAATTTGCTGCTATGTACCCACCACCATACCCGTATCTTAGATTTGAGTCTGTTGCTCATCTCGACGATCTCGCCGCCACTTATTGTGTCTCGCACGCCTGCTGCCTTGTATTTGTGCACTGCGCAACTGTCTGTTCTTGAACCACCAAACCACATTGAATCTGATCCATCAACCTCTCACCGACCAAAATCGTCATGGAGATCGTACTCGCGCAACCTGTCGTTTCCCAGATCTAGAAATACTAGAAATCATGATTCTTGTTGCCGGATTCCATCACTGTTGCTGCCTGAAATGAAATCTAGATCCCGACCCGCCAAAAACGATCTGTTGTTGCCGCAGTTCATGGTCTTGCTGATTGTCCTCAAACTCGCATCGAGTTGCTGCCGCAAAACTCATTCCGCGTGCTGCGAATATTGTTGTTCATTGAAATAAAAAAAAAAAGTAGAAAAAAGAACAACGGTAAGATGTTGGGCTTCTTGTTGGGCCCATATTGATTGGTTTGCAGAATGATTGTTGTCTTCTGTTATTGCGGGCCACAACGATTGCCCGAGTATTTGGACTGGTCACAACTCAGATGACGGTGTGTATATGATGAAGTGGACTGTTTGTTCGTTTATTGCTGCCATTGGGATATCAAAATTTCGTCCATTTAGTGAATGGGAGCATTCATATTTTCTTTCCATAAACCGTAGTTTCAGTATTGTCAGAATTTGTTGTTTGATTTTTGGTCGTTGGAATTGCTTGATTGCTCGTCTGGTCACTTGTTTGCTCGCTTAGATTGCTTGTTTGCTTGTTTTCTCACTTTAATACCTCACTTGTTTTGTCACGTCCACCAAACAAAGTTTGTCTTGTCGTGTCTATTTAATAGAACCCGTCTTGTCTTGGAAAATATTAGTTATGTAGTTCATTTTTTATGGGTTTGTTGTGGGCCCAGGATTAGGATTTCTTGCCCTCAAAATTAGGGTTTGCTTTGGTTTTCTCTATATCATGTTCATTGTATTTGTTATTTTACAAGTGAGTCAAAATGCAATTCTCAGTTTCTAGCTGCCTCGACAATTTTCTTTATTTGTTTTTCTGTTAATTAAATAATATTTGTAGTTTGATAGTTTGTTTATCTGTTCATCTATATGATACTATGGTTTGAACTCAATTATGATAATAATGTTCTTTTATTGGTGCCATTGAATCCACTATGATATTCGCCTTTCGTAGTATATGTGTGAACGATAGTTTTAAAAACCAATGCCTAATTCTCCAACGAAGTTGCACTTTGCCGTTAATTATATTAATGAGAACCTATGAATCTCATTCCACTTGAACACCATCGAGACCCAACCTTGCAAAGCTGAAGAATATCCTAAAGGAACCGCTCGCGAGTCATAAGGCTATGGTTTTTTTTTTCTTTAAAAGGGGGATAATTAGTGGCAAGCCACGATTATCCATCAATTCCGGGAGCTGAGAAGACTCACAGAGGCATTTTCAGCTTCTCCTGAATTTTGACTAAATAATTCCCAATGGGTATAAATGTTTCCATTGCATTACGTGTCTTTTTGTTCAAAAAGAGCGTTGTTTCTTTGGTTTCATATTTTTCAACATGTGTAGGAAATATCTTTTCGAGCAATAAGGGTTGGGCATTATGCCATTTATGTTGTAACCAAGAAATCACGTCTGAATCTAGAGAAGGGATATCAATGTTTCCTCTTCCAATCCACAAAAGAAAGCAAACATTTTGACTTTAGCTGTCAACTTGAGTTCCAAAATTTTGACAAATATTGATCTATATGTTGTGGTTTATAATCAATCTGGAGATTCATAGCATATTGAATAGTGAATTGACTAGTTGGGGGAAGGTCCCGTGCAAAGGAATCCAACATTCTTTTTTTTTTTTTTTGCATCATTCTCTCTCATTGCTTCCTTTCCATATCCTATCTTTTTACTTGAAATGGTAATAGAAAACAAATGTGGTATAAAATGGATGTTAAGTTTTCTTTTTATGAAACATGAGATATGAAATTGGAGGCTTACAGAGATGGCTACATTAATTTAGCAAACTAACTTAATTAGTCAACATTTACAGAGGAGATGTATAGTTTTGAATTCCTAATATTATAAGAGATATCAAATATATGAAGCTCTTAATTTGTGTTAATTAGGGAAAAATAAGAAAAAGTCGGTTAGAGCAAGTCCACCCCAAAGGGCTAGGCCGGCTCACAGCCCACAAAATGGCCCGGCACCCACAAAAAGTGCTCCAGCCTAGCCTAATAGGCTGGTACCCATCTCAAGCTGTCTTATAGGCCGGCCTAGAATGTGCTGAGCCAAGGCCAAGCCTATGTGACGTCATGTTGACGCCAGTGTGATGTCACAAGTTGTTTTAAATTTTTTTGCACCAAGCGCGTGGGAAACACACACAAGTGGGCATGCATCCTTGACAAGAAACAAGGGGCGAGGCCCGCATGCGCAGGCACACCACCGGTTATGATGGGAGGCCACGTGGCTCGTTATGGGCCGTTGGATGCAGAGATCAATGGTCCACGTTTTTCGCCCCAAAAATTTAAAAATAATGCACAACGGTTAGAATTATGACCATTGGGCACATTAATTAACTAAATTAAAATTAATAAAAAATTTAAAAATTATTAAAAATTGTTAAAAAATAATGAAAAAAATAAAAAAATATATTATTTTTTTTCTATAAATACCTAACCATCATCTTCCACCTTAAAACTATTTTTTCTATAGTACTTTTAGATAATGACACGCAGCATGATAAGATTGATTAAAATCCTATCTGAAATTAAAACTAAATTTAAAATTTATTATTTTATAAAAAAAATTAATAATAGTTTAAATAGGCTAGGTGCCAGTGCATTTTGTAGAGGTGAATATCTTTTGTGCCAACACATTTTTTAGGAGTGGAGAAGCATTTGACCAATTTACTGTTCATGAAGTCTATCACTGTTCACCGATTGGATTAACTGGGCTGAGTACCAGCGTATTTTTTAGGAGTGGATTTGCTCTTAAGAAGAAAAGGAAAACAAAAGCTAAAACAAATATACAAATAAAGCACTGTTGCAGCTGGATCTGGGAAATGTAATGCCAAAAGTGATCGCTTAAAAGATATTGCTCAAGTGATTATTGACTTTTGGCCTTTAGTATGATAGATAGTGATATGAATTCACGAGATAGTGACATGAATTCACGAGATCACCTTACTGTTATAAGCGTGGCCGGGGATCACTTCGAATTCTTGTGTAATGTCATGCTAATCAAGTAAGATTCTGACCTGAATTCACATAATAATTATAATAAGAATTGAGAGTAAAAATATTATCTATTAGTTTAAGGTGAGTTTACACTATCAATCATTTTCAACATGTAAGAAAGGTAGGGATGAAAAATATCATGTCGAAGGAAAATTTCAATTTGCCGTAGGTATCATTTAAGAAAAATGAAATAGCAAATACTTACAAATTTCATGTAACAACACGTCATGCTAGAGAGATCAAATGTAAACGGCATATAACGTAGCGAGTAATGATTGGACTCATTCTTTAAATAATTAGAGAGTTTTAACGAAAAGTCAACGGTACTGTTTACTTTAAAAAAAAAAATCATATTTTTACACTAAAAAGTCAATCCTAATACTATTTTTTTACCTTTTATTTTGTTTTTATCATTAAAACTCAAAGTTTTCTATCCCTTTTCATTAGTTTTTTTTATAAAAAAAGCAATCTACAAAGGGATGGTCTAAAATGGCCACCGGTTTGGTGTCTCGAATTATGTGTCTCCTCTGTGTCTTTTTTTTTTTTAATTTTGTGACATGTGTCCCCCACTTAACTGTAAAACTTAACACCGTTACTTTGCATAAAATTTAACTAAAAATTAAAAAACTAAAAAAAAAAAAAAAATCCACTGTTGAAACTCATCATCCCCAATCTCCCTGCAATCCTTCCCCCAGTCTGCTGCAATCCTTCAAAAGAAGCCCTTACACCACGTGGAAACTCATCATCCTTATCGTCCTAATCAACCCCGGAAACCAAACACTTCCAATACTGAAACAAAATGAATGAAATTTCACCACGGCCGTCGCCGACCCGGTGATTTCCAAGCTCGAGGAGGTGAGATTCTTGACGGGTCGATCCCGGTTCGCGACCCAGACGTAAGTCGGGACCGGAATCAGAGGATACCAAATGCCCAAGTACCAGTTGGGACTTTCGTCGTTGGTGGAGAAGAAGCCGAGCGCAAAGGTCCGGTTGGGGCTCGAGAGCGTCGCGTTCCCAAAGATTACGACTTTGCTTTTCCTCGCCATTGGGTACTGTAAATTCGGGAGCGTCGCCGTCGCCGTCGCGAGTATGGGAGACCCGTTTGTGTTGCGCGTGGGGGAGTCAGGAAAGTCGGGGACCTTGGCTCTGGTGTAGAACTGGGATTCAATTCGGGGTAACAATTCGTCATTGGGGTTGGCATTTGTGGGTTTTAGAAGAAGGGCTAGGAGTACAAGAAGGAGAAGAGAAATGGGCTGCATGGAAGAAGCCATGGCGAGTGGCGGCGACGGCGGGCGTGGTGAAATTTCATTCATTTTGTTTCAGTATTGGTTGGAAGTGTTTGGTTTCCGGGGTTGATTAGGACGATAAGGATGTTGAGTTTCCACGGGGTTTAAGGGCTTCTTTTGAAGTATTGCAGGAGACTGGGGGAAGGATTGCAGGGAGATTGGGGATGATGAGTTTCGGGTTTTTTTTTTTTTTTTTTTTTTTTTTGAGTTTTTAATTTTTAATTAAATTTTATGCAAAGTAACGGTGTTAAGTTTTAAAGTTAAGTGGATGACACGTGTCACAAAACTAAAAAAGAGACACAGAGGAGACACTTAATTCGGAACACCAAACCCGTAGCGGTCTAAAATTTAATCTGTCTAACATTTTTCTATAACAACACATTAACCAAATCGGAACTTGGTTAGTTATTCATTTTCTTTTGTCCTCTATATTTATCTTATTAATTCCAACCGTATTAAATCCCTCCCCTTTTCAGGGCAGCTCGTAGCTAGGGAAAAAAACAGTAGCATGCCTTTATCTTTCTATAAATAAGGCAAATCTCATGTCCCATTTGTATTAAAATCCATCAACCTTCTCAAGTCTACCTGCAATATTTGAGACATTTCATAAATATGGAAAACAAAATGGGGTACAATATAAAGCTTGTGTTGTGCATCTGCTCCATGGCATTAATCTTAGCTCGTGTCTCCTCAGCCACTTCCAGAAGAGATATCAGAGGCTTCATCAATGAACACAACAAAGCTCGGGCGGAGGTCGGTGTTGGTCCGATCAAATGGAACGAGACCATAGCAAGGTATGCACAAAACTATGCCAATGTAAGATCTTGGGACTGTGCAATGGAGCACTCAATGGGGCCTTATGGTGAGAACATAGCCTCAGGCGAAGGCATGACGGGTGCAGCTGCTGTCAAGTATTGGGTTACCGAGAAGGAGTTCTATGACTACAACCAAAACAAATGTATTAACGACGAATGTGGTCACTACCTTGCTGTGATTTGGAGCAAATCAACCTATGTTGGTTGTGCCACGTCATTGTGCACGAATGGACAAACCTTCGTGATTTGCGATTATGATCCTTCTGTAACAGATGGGGAGCGCCCGTACTAAATAAATAAAACTTACATTGTAATCTTGTGCCTTTAGCACTTGTTTCACTCGTTAGAGATCATGTAATGAATGCGTTAAGGACATGAGCATTATATAGCACCCGTTACGAATAAGCTTTTCTCATATGTACTAGACATGACCATGTTTTGGTCTCGGATCTAGTATTTTGTTCTTTTAAATAAAAAATTAGAAATAAAAGGGAATGTGAGGTACATGTATATTGTAATCGTGTGTGCAAATACGCCTTCACTTTACGACATTCCATTGCAATGGATTTTATAATTTGTTAATATAAAGACTCTTCTTCTCCTTCAAAATTCTTCGAATCTCGTACTGGAGCTGTGGCCAAACACTTTCTTTCCTAATTTTTAAATTTTCTTTTTTTAAAAAAAGGTCATTGACAACTGAATTTGTTTTTTATTTTCTTCACACGTATCAACATGACTTATTTTCAGAGGAATTGTGTTCGGACTGGAACTTAACTCTCTAGCTTGGTATTGTATTTCACATACCATGGTGAGCCAATATCTCAGCAAATTTTCTGAAAAAAAAAATGCCAGCAAATGCATCTTGAAGATCTTATCTGAATGACCTTATTTGAAACATTTGTAGGATAATATAGGTAATTATAATTATAATACACCTGTGAAATCATTTAATTAGATAAACCAAGATGTTCAACCTTATATGAGGAATTATACTAATATGAGGCTATGAATGATTATTCACCTCTACTTTCGACATGATATTCCAAAGAGTGGATATCATATAATCCAAGATGTTCACCCTTATATGAAGAATTATGGCTAATATGCTATTTAGTTTGCAGTTACTTATAACATGTATGTTTAAGAGCAATGACGAGTAAATATGTGGACAAAAATGATATACACATAGTCACAATAGTACAAAAAACACTTTGCGCGACGCAGGTCCTTCGTTGCGCAAAGTCAAAAAAACATCGCACAAAAATTTGCCCAATGAACCTTCATCGCGCCAAGGCAATGACAATAGAGTTTGCACGACGTGTAACCTACGTTGCGCAAAGTGGTTTTGCATGACGTATAACCTACGTCGCACAAAGTGGTTTTGCACGATGTATAACTTACGTCGCACAAAGTGGTTTTGCGCGACGTAGGTCACTTTTTCATCTCGCAAACCCCTCTTTTTTTTTTTTTTTTTTTTTTTTGGGGTTTTGGTAAAAATGTTTTTTGTTTAATTTTTAATAAATATTGTAATTAAATTCTAAACAATAATTAATAAACAAAGAAAAAGTATTTAATTATAAAGTATATGAAAATGTACATACAAGATGTTCGAACAAAAAAGAACAAACTACAAGTAGTCTTCTAGGTTTGATACATAAGGCTACTGAGTATCGGCTGGGCGAAGTGGTTGGGAGGTCGAAGATAGAGCAAGATCAGGTGCTGGCATCGGGATTTGGAGGCCGGACATTTGTAAGGCCCATACAATCATGCTCATCTGCTCACCCTGAGCCGCAAGCTGACCTTTTAGTTTTGTCACTTCCTCCACACTGGGAATCTGTGATAAATTTTAAGATTATCTGAATCACTATTTATAACAACTAAAACATGTTTTAGGATGCCTAGTAAACACTCTAGTAAGCAAACATTGTAATCAATCAATGGTGCCAAAACTTCATTAGACTAATTGATATGATTAAAGTACCGTACAAAAACAGTTTACTTTGTACAAGCCATTCAACCAAACACATGACCATAGAGACTAACTAGTAAACAAGTAGGAAGGTAACAGAAGCAACTGATGCATTCATACGATTTATGACAATTGATCACATGTAATTTATCGATCACTTTACCATGACAGTGACTTGACTTGACTTGAATAACATCACAATTCGTGTAAAATAGACTCACAAAAATCGTGGACACAATGTTGAAACCCCAAAGACGGGTCCTACTCATATCATATATATCTATATGACCTAGCCTAATAAAGGGTGGTAGAGAGACTGGAGACCCTTTCCAGGTTTTTTGCAACTTGTAGATGGTCACCTCCAATCGCCAATAAGTTATGTATACCCTTCTTTCTATATTTGTATAATTATAAATATAAGGGAGAGGTAGTTGTGATGGAACTCAGGAGCCCTCTAGCAAACATGTTCATTTTGTTATTTTTGGTGTGAGATTAGAAGATACAGAACACATTAGACGGTTTGAATTTGGAATGCGCAATAGAGGTGTAAACGCAAAATTTCAAAATTTACGTGTCTACAAGAGGGTTTAGGGTTCATGGCTAGTCCTTTACTGCAACTGATTGCCCCAAGGCCTATTCTTTTCAACTACTAGAACATCATTGATTTCAGAAAACACTACCTTTTTCTTCCTGCTTGATTTTTAGATTTTATTTCTTAGAACATAGCTATGGCATTAGGAGCATGGTTGAAGAGTAAAATTAATTGCCCCGTTCTCCGGTCCATGGATTTAATTGTCTGGATTTTATTCTAATATGAAATTACAATTGACAGACATTAAGGACCAGGTTTCCAATTTAAAGAATGAAGTACATAGTTGACTGGGAAAAGATGACCTTTATTTCTCAAGGGTCAGAAAGCTCTGAACTCTAATATACACTCCTAGCGACATGCAGGAATCCCAGCTTTCGGGCTACATAGTGAAAATGTAAATTGGACAAACTAGGAATCAGCTGACTTCTTGGTAGTGACAAAAACAAAGGGTTTGGAACGTCTAGACACAGGGTATTTACTGAGTATTAACAGAAAGTATAAATACATTATCATTTAAAAGTTGAAGGCTTCTGTGTGTACCTTTACACATAACTCTTCCAAAACACATAACTCTTCCAAAAGGCATTGGAAATTCAATACTGCCCCACCTAAAGCATAATAATAATAATGTAAGGTGGTGTTGAAAGTAGTATGCTAAAACACTAGTAAATAGCTTGGCATATACATAACAAAACAGAGAAGGTAAAACCAACTGAAGTGAATGAAATTTACTTTTTGAAGTTCTTGAAAGCAGCAGTGTCATCCAGCTCGCCTCTCATATCCAAAGGATATGGCTTTCCATCAACCAATGCAGAAGGATTCATCTCCAGAAAAGTGAAGTCCAAATCTGGAATAGAATGATAATTGGCAAAATTGTTCTCACTTCTTACCAATCTAGTACGAAATGGAATGGTCCAAACTTTTTAACACACCTTGAAATAGAGTAAACACGGCTTTGATAAAGTCCTCAAGTTCTGCTTTGATCTATATTCAAGAATAATACTTGTCAATGATTTCCAGTTTAAACTAAAACGAACATGAACTCAAGAGAGATAGCATATGATTGACGTAAGCAAAATCGAGTACATTATTTCTTTTTTTCTGGTCAGAAGTAAGGTATACAGAAATGATACCGAAATACCATATCAATAAAAGACTTACCTCCAAGGGAAGGGTTGCAACAAGTGGAGCAGAAACTTCTGATGTAAAAGCAACTCCAGTAGGGACAAATATGGTCTTAACCTGTATAAAGTATATTTCTTTTATAAATATGGAGCGTTAAGGTAGACGAATAGAGCTCATAGAAGATGCACTTCTAGGAATTTTTATCTTTCTATTGAAAATAACAAAGAATCGCGTTTGAATAAGAATTTGGTAACACATTGACATCCAAAAATACCTTACCCAGTTCTCCTCAATATCAATTCCTCCACACTCGGAGAAGCTTATGCTGTTTCCAAGTAGGTCTGAGACGATATTAAGGTAAAACTCTTCATTGTGGGGAATGAAGGGTTCAACAATGAATGTTGTTATGGGTCCTTTGCAGCCAGCCATCTCAACCTGTAACGCCAAAGAGCGAAACATGTAAGCCAAATTCTTGATTCTTATGAAGATCAATATCATCAAATACAAAACACACATAAGGAACTTATGTATTGACGAAACAATGTGAAGATCAAATACCTCTTTGCCCAGGCGCTCCTTCACAAAGTCGACAACTTGAGCAAAATCAAGATTCAAGGCAACACCATCAACATCTTAATATTCGATTTAACACTAAAACCCTAAAATTTGATTTAACACTAAAACCCCCAATTTCTAATTTAATTTTCCACATTGAATGTTTTCCACTCAAATACATGTATCTATCTCAAAGATCCACTCACATACATCTATCTCAAAGATCCAAATAGCCACGGAGAGCAAACATTCTAGCCAAACCTCTAAAACTGTATAAAATAATGGACGGAAAATCTGTAAATAGAGCAGAACCAATTTGAACAGAAAATTAAACACAGAGAAGTGAGAGTGTGAGACTAACCTTTGCTGTCGAGACTCGAAACGGTGAGACCGGGGAGGAACAAGGGGAGGATGATGATGCAGATGAATGGGCATGAACAAGGTGAGAGACCGAGTGAGAGAGAGGGAAGAGAGATTGACGGGCATGAACAAGGGGAGGATGATGATGCAGATGAAGATGATAACAGAGAGACCGGGGAGGAAGAGCAGTCAGTAGAGGAAGGTGGAGAGTTTGACTTGCACTCCCATTTTCTCCAAATTTGGGAAAATTAAAAAAAAGCTTCACAAAACTACCGCCAAAATTTTTAACACATTGTGCAACGTATGTATTCATTACGACGTGCGCAAATTGTTGGTGTGTCGTGAAAACAGTTTTTGCGTAACGCATTAGTGGTGCGTCACATAAAATGTGTTTGCGCAATGATCAAATTGTATTATAAAATTTATTGAAAATGTGACTTTACTCCTTTCAAATTCATTTTTTTTTTTACATAAAATACAATAACATATTTTGCTAACAAAAACCCGACTTGAACTATAATAATAAATTTAAAGCTACTTAATAAATATATATCCCATTCAATTTCTTGAGTGTTATAACAAAATAAATAAATTTAAAGTTACTTAATAAATATATATATTATTGAACTTGGCAGTTATAAATGAAAATTCACAATTTAACAGTAGTTTTAACTCTGATTTTGATGATTTTTTACAGCGACACTCCTTGATCCTATATGAATACAATGAATGAATTCGATCTTCAATTTAAAATATTTACATTAGTAGATACTACAAAATCTTATGTTATACGTAATGAAAGTATAAATAAACTCTTAAGTGTTAGTGAATCTATTGTTTTGATGGGATACACATTATACGAAACTAATTTCAACGATTCGACCGTCAAATTTGTTTTGTATATGCTTCAAGATCGCATACGCCAAAAATCGCAAAAAAAAAAAAAACATTCAAAGATCAAGTAACGAGACAAAAAATTTCAACGGTTATAAACGAAAAATCATTATTTAACGGTTATTTTAACTCCGATTTTGATGATTTTTTATAGCTACACTCCTTGACCCTATATGAATACAATGAATGAACTGGATCGTCAATTAAAAATATTTACACTAGTGGATACCACAAAATCTTATGTTATACTTAATGAAAGTATAAATAAACTCTTAAGTGTTAGTGAATCTATCGTTTTGATGGGAAACGCATTGTACGAAGCTAGTTTCAACGATCCAACCGTCAAACTTGTTTGTATATGTTTTGAGATCGCATACGCCAAAAATGTCAAAAAACAAACATTCAGATATCAGGTAACAAGACGCACAAAATATCACGCAAATGGCCTTTACGCGATGACACTTTGTGTGACGAAGGCTAGCATTGCGCAAAGATGCTTTGCGCGACGCAGGTGTACCTACGTCGTGCAAAGCTGTTTTGCGCGATGCCAGCCTTCGTCGAGCAAAGTGTCGTTCAGCAAAACAGCTTTGCGCAATATTTTGTGTTTTGCGTTGCGCAAACATACTTTGCGCGACGAAATTTGTTTTGTCGCGCAAAATGTTTTTCTATTAGTGTCAAGGATAAACATAATAAAATGACTTGTCATTCATTTATATGCATGCTTCGCAAAGAGGTTAAATGCAATTGTCGAGGAGGATGTGGTTAAGCCCATAAGGAAGTCACCTAGGAAAGAAACTCAATTTCTTTAATTGGAGGTACCATGAAGGAAGTTCAATGTGGTATAAACATTCCATAGAACATGACTCATTATAGCATTCATATTAAAGTGAAGATGTCCATGAGATATTGAGACCAAAGGTCTTGAGTGACCGATATGCAAAGCAACTCAAAAGATAAAGAATTATCTTCTTCTGCTCATCCTTAGTGCTATTTTATGTGGAGTTAGGAAGGGTATTAACACTGAATGAGTTTCTAGGCTAGCAATCTTCCGCAAGGTACAAGTCACATGTACTATTGGAGAACTCAATTAAGTAAGAGTAGTCATGAGGCTGTGACTATGAGGATTGGGTTGTTCTCTAAGAACTCTCATGAGAATCAAGATTAAGAGCAGACGACAAATAACGCTATCCCGCGCCAAGTTTTTTTTATCAGTGTCATGTGTGTGACATTTAGTATTTTGGTTAAAAGAGGTCTAGTCCAAGACATAGTTCATTGTGATTCCTTTAGATGAAAGTTGTTAACACTAAATTTAGGTTCGAGTCCGGAAGAAAGTTACACCCATTCCATGGTATACAACTTGTCCAAATTTCTTCCATTCATATCTATATGTTTACGTCTTCTAAATTGTTATAGAGTTTTGAATCTTGTGAACAATTGTTGGTTATTTAATTTATTTTACTTAAGACTCAAAACTTTATTTACTATTTTCTAAAATAATAAATATGAAGAGTCATGTTTATTGGGATAAGTCACAACTTTTACAAAAGAGAGTATAGAGTTTTATAAATAAGGAATTCCTCAAACATAAAATAGATGTTCATTACTTTCCTTCTCACCTAAATCTATATTCCCTATTATCCTACGGAACTCCTCAAACATAAAATAGGCGTTCATTACTTTCCTTCTCTCCGACGTCTACATTCCCTATATCCATCTACTTATCTTCAACATCAATGGGCAATTAATTGATTACTATGTGGCATCCTGTCTACCGTAATAGTTCATATGGATCAAACACTTTGTGAGATTCAAGGGTTGTATTTTAATGTATATAATCTTTATAACCTGCACATAGGGAGTTGTCATAGTGACAACATGCTTCGCTTGATATCGCAAGCCAGATTATTCCTTACTCTTTTTCTATTTACTGCTTTGTTTATTGGTATATGTATTTGATGCTTATCGGTTTATCTAATTGAATGTTTTTACATGTGTAGTATGATTATAATTAATTGTATTAACATATAGTTTGTGACATTGGGGTTGCTCAATTTTATTAGAGAAATATTAAGGAGATTCTCTAAAAAGCGAGGCTCCCCATGAATTCTCTGTCAACTTACAGTTTAACATCAACTGATGTGCCAACATTAATCAAACATTGTACCAAAACCATGTGGTAGCTAGTAGAGAGTCCGTAGAGTCTCACTTTTAAGAGAGTCTCTTTAGTGCTTCTCTTTTTATTATAGTGACAATTTAATTACTAATCTTCTTGATGTGCACGACTATAAGTAAATGTTAATTTTTTTTTATTTTTTATGCATGTGGTGGATTGTCCTAGTAGTTAGAGACTTTTCTTTAACTCATTGTGTCCCAGGTTCAGACTTTCACTCTCTCGCTTAGTGTAGATTAGTATTTTGTACTAAAAAAAGTTAATCCTCTCATAGAGGGCTAGATATACTTTGGGACCAAGGTGGTCGTAGGACCAATGCAGAGTCAGGGAAATAATCATGTGAAGGTCTTTTGAGGATCCTCATAATGTTTGGTACGGGTCCTTTTTGTGCCTACTAAGTGTTTGATGTAAGTTTGTTAGGCATATCTCGACACGTTGCGTCGACAACACTAGACAAATTATCTCAACATCACTCATCAGATTGCTTGGGCATATGTCAAGATCTGTTGACATGTGCACAACATGGCTTAATTGATGAGAAAAAGTTCACCAATTGTTCGTCAAAATGATTAAGTGATTAAACTAAATTTATTTTTTATTTTATTTATTTATTTTATTTTATTTTTTTGCCCTTCTCACTTTGTTTTTATTTAAAAAAACTTGAACCTTTAATTTTGTGACCACAAAATTCGAATTCTAAATTCGCCATATATATATATCACTGAATTGACATGTAATCATGTAAATTAAGCCGTTGTTTGTAAAGAACTCTAAAAGTAGGGTTTCGTTTTATCAGTTCGGCGAAAGGTTTTTTTCTTTTCTTTTTTTTTTTGTTTTTTTTGGGTAATAGGGAATTTTCATAACTAACAATTACAAAGAAAGTCATCTTAGTACTACGGTTTAGTGATATTTCTCTTCACTTGTAAGTGAGAAGTCATAGGTTCGATTCTTGTGGGTGAATTACAGCCACATTACTGCTAGCCCATTATGAGACTAAGTCCACCTGATTCCCCTTAGTGTAGAAAATATCGTTTGTACAAAAAAAAAAAAAAAACAACAGTTACAAAGAAAGTCAAGGAGTCATGTGTGAACGTCCAACTTTGTTGGCCATGCAAATAAATCTCCATATTCACCGCTACTGTAAATGCTCCATAATACCATACATAACATCTAATTTTCCCATTCACCGCTATCATAAATACTCACACACCATAACATCTCATCTTCCCATCCACAACTTAATAATTCAGTACAGAAAAAAAAACAAACCATTAACATGGGGCTGTGCAAGATTTCTTTATCCCTCATTTACATTTTAGGCTCAGCCCTAATCCAATCGACTCATGCCCAAGACACACCCCAAGACTTCCTCAATTCCCACAATTCCGCCTGCGCAACGGTAGGCGTCGGTCCCTTGATGTGGGAGGACAATATAGCACGTTTTGCACAAAACCACGCTAACCAACGTATTGGCGACTGCAATCTCACACATTCCAATGGGCTATACGGTGAAAACCTTTCCACCATAAGCACGGCTGACTTACCGAGAGTGAAGGCTGTGGACAGGTGGGAGGCAGAGAAGGTTGACTACAATTATGAGTCGAATTCGTGTGCTGATGGCAAGATGTGTGGGCATTATAGGCAGGTGGTTTGGAATATGATAGTTCGCCTAGGGTGCGCAAAAGTGAGGTGCAGTAGTGGGGGTACCTTTATTGGGTGCAACTATGATCCCCCAGGCAACTATCAAGATGAGAAACCTTAATAACCATGGAAGAATCAACAACCACTCTGGCAGTTTTTGTTGATTGATATATCTATTGATTAGAAATTCTTCGATACGTTCCATATTTTTATGGAAATCTCTAAAAAATAAGAGAAAGATAAAGAAATCGACAGATATCATTGTTATTTCTCACACATTTGTTAAATATCAGAGAAACTCTCATATTTTGTCCAAATCAATGTTTGACAATTTCTAAAGTTTCCTTTTAAATTTCCATTATTTCCATCTAAAGCAACCACTTTGGATGTTGATATTTGATATATCCGTCGATATTTCTACAAATTTGCATTTAAATATTTTTTATTGATATCAATATTTTAAACAACAATTATATCTAAGAAGATAAGCTATATGTTATTAAGAATAAAATGAACTAAGAAGCGATGACCGATCACTTGTATGTAACTTCCATTGGCAAGGGTGATGCTGTCCGGCGCCCAACTCCCACCTACACAAGGCATATACAACATGGCATCTTAATCTTTGATCTTCCTGAGTTTTCTTTGGCATAATCCAGGCTGCTTAACCACGATAGTTTAAGGGTGATGCTCTCTGGCGAGCTTCGATGATGGCTCTTTGCTAGATTGTGTCCCTAATGGAGGCGGTGGATCCTGATTGGTGGCCCCTAGTTGCTGTTTCTTTAGTGGGTTTTTACCTTTATTGTCTGCAGGCCCTTTATTGTTTGCCATCATTATGGACAAACATCAACCCGATTATGGAGTGGAGGACATCGAATGTTTGTCGGATTTTTTCGAGGATTGTTTGGACCTGGAGAATCGCTTTGAAGACCTTATTCATCTAGTTGGTAGAATGATTGTTGATCAGGAACCCCTTCAGTATGTTATGAAGGAGGTACGTCGGCTACTTTGGCACAAACTTAGAGTCATCCGAGTGGCTAGAGCGAAGGAAAATATCCACGCTATCACCAATGGGGAAGAAGCGGTAGCGAGGCAATTGTTAGAGGGGAACCCATGGTTTGTGAAGGGCTACTCTTTCTCAGTTAAGTTTTGGCCTACTTATCACTCCTTAGATCACATTAAGCCGGACAAGGTGATGTTTTGGGTCCAATCTCATGGCATACCACGCTAACTCTATACCAATAAAAATGCCCGCTGGTTGGGATAAAGGATTGGAGCAGTCATCGTAGTCGCTGATCCGGTGGAGAACGGGTTCTGAGGTTTCTTATGATGCAGGGTTGATTTTGATACCTGTAGACCCCTCCTTACCAGATTTATTATGCCTTGCCTAGAGAATGGTTCTTTAACTATCCGGCTTCATTACTAAGGTCTCAAGGACTTTTGCTACAAGTGTGGTCGGCTTGGGCATTCTAAAGGATGTACCTAGAAGGTTCAACTCACTGAATCCGGTGAATGTAACTATGGTGAGGGATTAAGAGTGCCCCCTATTGGCTTCGTCTCTATGTTGCTGTTTCCCTGCCAGACTAGACCTAAGCCAAGTAGTGGTGCTAATGAGCGGCATTGGCGTAGAAAATGGCATGTGGAAAGTGGTTTCTATGGTATTCGGGATGAAGAATGGAAGGCATAGGCATGGCAGTTTCAAGTGAACGTTGTGGCCAAACAGAAGGACATTGAGGTCTCCATGCAGTCAAACGGTAACAATAATCCAGTTACTGGCGACAGGGATATGTTGGAGCTGACATTTGAATGCAACTTGGTTTGCAGTGTCCGTTACCTGGTAACAATCAATCTGAGGATGTCAGAATGAGATCATCTCTAGAGGATCTTGATCACATGTGGCACCCTGATAGTTTTGGGACCCACTTTACGAATGGCTTATTAACGTTGGCTATCAATGGTCTATCCCTCGATAAAGTTTGGAGTGACCCAAAGCGGATCCCACCATGGGCTTTCCTCAATGCCAATGGGCTTACTAACACTTAGCAATTCTTTAGGCTTGAGCCTGGCTATGAATTGGCTGGCCTACCTTGTGATTAGCTGTTGGATCCTAGCAACTCATTACCAGTGGGGGACCTTCCTACCGATCCATGACTTGGAAAAGCCAAGAAAAAGCACATGGATGAGAGTGCTACACCTAACCCCCCTCCTAAACGTCCAAGAACCAAGGCACCTATTAGCCCGTAGAAACCTCTCCATTTTGCTCAGGGCGATGGCCCTAAAAGAAAATAAAAAAGGAATGGTAGGGGACGTGGTCAACATGTAACTGGAGATATTGACTTTACTAGAAGAAGTTCGTTCTGCATGGGGGAAGACCAGGGGTTATGTGAAGTCCTTATTTCTGCATCCAAAAAGTTGGAAGAGGCTAAATTCAATGGCCTGCTAGGAAGGAATAAGCACTAAAAGAATCTGGAATCAGCAGCGGTTAAGGAGACTCAGTCTTATCGTTAACCATGAGTATTTTATTTTGGAACTACCAGGGGCTTGGGAACCGTCGGATAGTTCAAGCGTTGCGTGGGTTAATCCGGCAACAAGCTCCCCGTATTGTGTTTTTCTCTAAAACTAATACAATACAAATAGGCTACGAAATATCAGAGTGCAGTTGGGGTTCAATTACGCTTTTGGAGTAACCTCTTGTGGTAGATCCAGAGGTCTTTCCTTACTATGGAATGATGACACTACTTTGAGAATTCTATCCTCTTCTTCCCACCATATTAACGAGGAGGTAGGCGGAATTGGTGATGCGAAGCACTGGAGGTTCACGGGTTTCTATGGACACCCACACCCAGTGACTAAGCATAGGCATGAAACGTGGGACCTATTGAGGACACTGGCTTCACGCTCCTCTATTCCCCGGGTTTGTAGAGGCGGTTTCAATGGAATTTTCCTTTCTGTGGAGAAGGAGGGAGGAAATTTACGCCACATCCACCAAATTCTCTCATTCCATGAAGCAGTGGGAGACTGTAATCTTATGGGTTTGGGGTTCAGAGGCGAGAATTTTACTTGGATAACCCCCGGCTGTGGGGGTATTAATGGACGGCTCGACTGTGTCCTCGCTACTCTACTTGGATGAATCTCTTTCCAATTGCTCTATTATCCACCTTAACCCATGCAAATCTGATCATTTTCCAATTTTGCTCAATTACAATGGCAGGGATTCTAGGAAGGGTCATGGAAGGGCTTATTTCATATTTGAGGAATGGTGGATGCATCATGATTCTTGTAAGGAAGTGATGGCTGAGGTCTGCCTTGATTGCAGGGTTCCCAATGTTCTAGGTGGTGGAAAAAGTGAAAGCGATGAAGGTTTCTTTTCTAACTTGGCAGCACCAAAATTTCAAGGCTAGGAAATTGAAAATTGAGCAGGTTCGTTCTTGGCTCAATTTTTTTTGGCTAACCCCTTGACTGAACCATGTTGGCCGAGAAGAATGATGTTTTGCAGAACTTGATTCCCTTTTGGCTCAAGAGGAAACCTTCTGGCGGCAAAGGTCTCGAATTCAATGGTTAAAAGAGGGGGACAAGAACACCAAGTTTTTCCACTAGAGAGCTACCACTCGAAAAACAAAAAAAATGCAATTTATGGCCTCAGTGACGATAATGGGGAGTTGGTTATGTTAGATGATGGTATGGAACGCATTGTTTTATCCTATTTTGACAACTTGTTCTGGACCTCCCAAGTGGTGGATGACGAGGAAATTATTGGGGCCCTGGACCAGCTAGTTACCGATGAGATGGCTACCTCTTTGAATGAGGATTTTTCTGAGGTGGAGATCAAGGCAACTCTCTTCGATATGCTTTCTTCAAAATCCCCGGGCCCAGATTTTGTTTAATTTTATAAGGCAGAGATCAAGACTTTCAGTACTCATAATTTGGTTAATTTTATGTTTAATTTTCTGAGGCAGAGATCAAGACTTTCAATACTCATAATTTGTTTAAATTTACGTTTCATAAGAAATTAAGAGGTAGTATTCTGGTGTTCATGTTTTTAGTGGATTCATTCATTGTAGGTAATGCTTATGGAGAACAGAACGAAAGTAGGTGCAATCAAATTTTTTTCGTACTCAGTCACCTAGACATTTTGAAGGGGGTGATTGGGACCAAGGTGGCTCTTGTAATCGGCTAAATCCTTTATTGGTAGAGCAGGTGAGTTGTGTGATGCTATAATGACCCGAATGGATATCATGTCTGTTTTTACTTTTGAGCAAAATGAATGTCATGTTTAGTTAATTGAGCTACACTTACATGTTATGAAGCAATGATTTTTACCCAAGCACAAACCCCTTCTACTTTGTGTTGTTTCAATTAAGCTATTGTATAATGTTACGATTTGCTTTCTAGGTCGAAGATCTCTTCTCAGTGAAGAATAATGGTACAAACGTGGAGGCACGCCTGGTGAATCAACACCTCTACAAGTCCCTTAAAGGATCAAGTTTCCAGATTTTGAACATAACCCACATGAGTGAGTTCAGAGCAGATACCCATCCATCCACAGCCAGTGGGAAGAAACACGACGACTGCATGCACTGGTGCTTGCCAGGATTAACAGATACTTGGAATGGCTTATATATAAAGCAGCTAAATGTTATTAAAAGTAGAAATTGATGAATTATTTTCATGTTGAGATTTTTCATTTTTTTCATCTGAGATGTAGTGAACTTCGCAGCACAATCCCATCCCAACTTGTTCTCAATGCTGCCTTTTGAAATCCACATAATGTTGCATCTAGAGGAGGCAACTGTGGTTAGAACACAAGGAAAATTTCAGCCTGGCTTTGGACACCTGTGCCACGACAACGAGAGTAAATGGTAATGTTCTATTTGCTTGTCTTATATATTTTGTATTAAGGAGTTGTCCTAATCGCCCCGAATGACCCCCCGTTTGCCCAATTACTACGATATGATCATAAAAGGCTAGTTTTTCCGGAATTTTATTGAAATAAGGGTAGGATGAGCAAGGATAGTTTTGTACGCACCCATTAAACAGTGCTCATTTTCCTGTGCTGTACTCAACCCTACAAATGCAATGTCACGGCATCCTGAAATTAAACCAAAAACAAGAAAAAATGAAGTTGAATTCTCTCCCTTTCTCCTTCATAAATTACAACACCAATTGGGGTGACAGCAACGGCAGTTCCAATACAGATCGTTGACTTCAAGCAAATCCTTCACCGTAATTACATGTTCCTCGACCTGAAGGAAAGCATGCATGCTCTAGGTTTACGCCTTCGAATTGAGTGGACCAAAAGCGCAGTAATGCTAATTGGTTTTGCCTTCAAGATGAAAATATTGCATGCTGTCTGCTCCCATCAGCATTCTTAAAGCATTATGTCCAGGCCTAAAGAGCAGAAATCGATCATCTTCTGTCCTGTACTCCTTAATACCTTCAAATATACCCTGACAAAACCCGCAATGTGCATATTTATATCACCAAAAGTTCGATAGCATAATAACATAATCATATTATGTTGTTGCAGAGTGAATCTGAATGAGACGTCTTGGCAAGAATCTACTTAAATAATGGTCGATATTCTCAGTTTGACAGGATAACATTTCTTCACAATAATAAAAGAATTTGACTGAATAAGCTACCTAGCTAGCAGCAAAGCATGCAAAATTACCAATGTTACCTTTCGAATGAAAAAGATTGGCACTGGCGTTATATACATTTGCCAATAATGATTAGCAACTAATCAAGCTTAACTAATCACACTAACACCTCGCACTAGCACTACAATTAGTTACATAACTGTTGCAATAGGTAAGGATAAGGACAATGACAAGACTATGACACTGCTGACTGTACTATGAGTATGAGTTGCGTCTTTACACCCGGTCAAGCTGAATGGAGGGTAAAACTTGGACTGAAGATAGTGAAACTGGCCTGAATATTAACATTCTTATTTTGGCTGTTGACATACTGAATTTGAGGAGATAAGCAAGAACTAGTTCTTTGATTTAATGATAATCTATTTCCACTTGTTTGTTACTAGCATGGAACACTGGATTGGAAGCCAGAGAAGTGGCAGATACATTGTCACACCACAAAACTGGAACTTTAGACAGAGGAAAACAAATGTCCTTAAATATTTTGCAAACTCAGGTAGTTCTGTTATTGTATGAACCCAATATCTATATTCAGCTTTCGTTGAGGAACGAGCAACTGTTCGCTGCTTCTTTCACTCCAACTAATGAGATTACTACCCAGATAAACACAGTAATCATTTGTAGATCTTCTGTCAAATACACAGCCTACCTAATCTGCATTAGAGAAGGCAGTGAGATCCAAAGAGCTTTTCTTGAACCACAAACCATGATCAATAGAGCCTTTTAGAAACCTTAGTAAGTATTCCTTTGATAGCTTGAAAGTGAGTACCTCCAGGACAATGAAGAAACTGACAAACTTGATTCACTGCATATGAGAGATCAGTTCTTGTTCATGTCAAATATTGCAATGCCCCACCATTGATATGTATTCATGAGGATTAGGTAATAGAGTACCATTGTGATCTAACTTGTGAGTACCAAGAGGTGTAGATACTCGTAACCACTAGAGTTACAAGCCCTCGGATCGATACTCATCTATTAATGAGCATGGATCCGATTACATATACATATGAAAATTAAAACGTCAGTTTTTACGTTTGTAAACTTTAGAACTATAGGGTCTAAAGTGAAAATACGCAACGCTTGTTGGCAAGGACTGCTTGTTTTAAAGCAGCAAGAAATTGCTCAGTAGATAGACATGGCACGCACAATCTCTCTGCACCCATCTTCATTCTTAGAGCGTTCTCTTCCGGACGAAAGAGCTGAATGCGACCATCTTTCGTCCTGATTGCCTTGAGACCTTCTAATATTCCCTGATGACACCATCACGTACATACTCTTAACTACTAGAATTACAAGCCCTCGGATCGATACTCATCTATTAATTAGCATGGATCCGATTATATTCGGCGTCATTGTGAAACAAACATAAGGGCAGCTAAGTATAATTACCTGTCCATAATTCAAGATTCCAGCAAATGGGCTGAGCTCAATCTTTCTATAGGGAGCGAGATGGCCTTGTGAAAAATTCTCTCCATCGGAACATATCCTAATGTACATGTAATCGGTTGGAATTACCCCAAATTCCAGTTCATCCCAGTTCATGGCATCAACGTGTTTTTCATCTGCTTCATGACTGCTTTGAGAAATTCTTACGGAAATTAAGTATAAGAGATAAAATTAAGAAAGCTGATAAGGTGAAGTAAATCACCTGTGAACTATGGATTCAGAAGTCATGGCTGCAAGTTAATGTAGAATAAAGTCTAAAACAGCCGCAACAAAGAAACAAAACACCTTTGAGTGAGCAATTTATAACATAAACGCATTTTGGTGAGATATCTCTCCATCTTAACACTTCATTTAAAAGCAAATTTCGTCTTTATTTTCGTTTTGTTTCCTATCATGACATATTTTAATCCAAATTTTTTATGAAAATTAAGGGTGATTAGTACCCTTTTCCCTTTACTTTATATATAACTAGATGCAGCAGTAGACACCCTTTGTGTGTGATTTAAAATTTATAAAGAATTAAGTATTAGTGGATTGGCGAAGTTAGAAAAAGTAAGAAAAAAGTAGACGTGGGTGGGTGCAAATGAGAGAGAGAGAAACGAAAAGTGAGTTTAGGTATTGATAGGATGACATGGTTACGAGGTTCAGTTAAAAAAAAAAAAAAAAAAAGAAGTAAAAATTTGTTTGTGTGAAATTACTATAATGTCTAATTTTTTTCTTTTAGTTATGTATAAAAGGGTATAATAGTAATTTCATTGATTTTTAGTTGACAAACAAAGTTTTTTTTTTTTTTTTTTTTTTTGTTTTTTGTTTTTTTGTTTTTGTTTTTGTTTTGTTTTGTTTTTTTAAAAAAAAAAAAACGATATTTTCTACAATAAGGGGAGGGGATGGGGTGAGTCTCACAATGAGCTATCAATAATGTGGTTCAAATTCACCTTTGGCGAGAATTAAACCTAGCTAAAATCTCTCACTTATAGGTAAAGAGGAATATCACTACATCGTAGTACTAAGTGGCGATAAATAGAGTTCTATTAATATGTAGTTTAGATGATTTTTAATTGACAAATAAAGTTCTATTAATATGTAGTTTAGATTTAGATAACATCACTTTATTATAAAAGTGAAAGTGAGAAAGTTTTGTATAGGTAAAATAAAAAACATGACTTTGATTTTTCAAACTGAAATAGCACCAATTTCGTCAAAAAAATTCAAACCAAAATACTATATCGGTGCTTTGTACTTTTTGGCGTCAAATTTGATGTCTGGCTGAGAGCAGGGCCGGTCCAGAGATTTTTGAGGTCCGGGACGACACTAAAAAATATGCCCTCACTTTATATAAGAAAATTATTTGTTTTCACACGTAAGACATCGATAAAATTATACTTACAAAAGAACTTCAAACTTAATAATTTAGAAATACGGAAAAACTAATTTATTTTGTATCGTGAGAAGGAAACAAAAAAAACTCCGGGTTTACAAGTAGATAGATATGAGTTTTGTTTTCCATCTTAACTTTTAAAGTGTTTTTGTATAAATCGTGAGGTGTTTTTTCTTATTCACTAACCTTGTCAATATGGGACTAAAAAAATAATGATGTTTTTGAGTCTAATTGATATGTATAACTAACAAATGGTTACTAAATTAAACTTTTTTATGATACATCATATGATTTGCAAATTTGGTCAACCGCATTACTCTTTGTTGAAGATTAAACTTGAATTGGAACAAATTTTTAAAAATAACAACCCACATAGCTTGTCACATCCCGACCCGGGACGGATCACTTCCTAGGCCCACTCCACTACCGTAGCACGATATTGTTCGCTTTGGGCTTACCATTCTCTCATGGTTTTGTTTTTGGGAACTCACGAGTAACTTCCAAGTGGGTCATCCATCATGGGATTGCTCTAGCCCCTTTCTCGCTTAACTTCGGAGTTCCTACGGAACCCGAAGTCAGTGAGCTCTCAAAAGGCCTTGTGCTAGTTAGGGATGAGAATATATATATAAGGATCACTCCCCTGGGCGATATCACAATCCACCCCCCTTAAGGGCCCGACATCCTCGTCGGCACACCACGGCTAGGGTTAGGCTTTGATACCAATTGTCACATCCCGACCTAGGACGGATCACTTCCCGAGCCCGGTCCACCTACTGTCCTCTTTGGGCTTACCATTCCCTCACGGTTTTGTTTTTGGGAACTTACGAGCAACTTCCCAGTGGGTCACCCATCATGGGATTGCTCTAGCCCCTTTCTCGCTTAACTTCGAAGTTCCTACAGAACCTTAAGCCAGTGAACTCCCAAAAGGCCTCGTGCTAGGTAGGGATGGGAATATACATGTAATGATCACTTCCCTGGGCGATGTGGGATGTCACATAGCTACTAGCTATTAATTAAAAATAAATTAACAACCAAACAAAAATTCGTAAAAATTAAAAAGAATAAACATGCTTTTAGCATTTCGAATTTAGGATCTCTCGTTAATTTTAAACAACAAAAATCATTGATTCTAGTTAAACTTCTTGATCATTTAGCCAAATTTTATATATTTATACTCTTATGAAAAGAAATTTGTAAAAATTGAAAAATAAATAAGGACACATGATGTTTTGAACTCAAGACCTCCTCATTAATTTCAAACAATAAAACTACCAGTTCTAGTTAAATATCTTTGTCATTGAACCAAATTTTATAAATTTATACTCTTATGAAAACATATATAAATATACCATCCTAATAATTTTGGTGCCCCCAATTATTTTGGACCCCGGACGATCGCCCTGCCAGCATTGGGCCTGGGTTGGCCCTAGCTAAGAGTACTTTTTCCACGAAGTCTTGGTATATAATATATATATATATATATATATATATTTTTTTTTTTTTGTCAAGAAGTCTTGTTAGTTTAGTGCAGGGGTGGCTCTAAGCATTTGGGTGCTTTGTGCAAAACTTACAAGGAGGCCTTTTATTATTTATTATTTTTTAATTTTTTTCTTCTATAAAATTGAAGTATTATAGGTTAGTGAATAAAAAATAAGTTTGTTTTTGTGGACAAGAGTGTTTTCTGTCTTCAATAGGTCATGAGTTCGAAACAATTGCATGTTTTTGAAATCAGTAAGGCAAAACTACCGACTGTCGAACCTAGCTCATGCTAAAGCCTCAAAATGGTAAAAACCCTAAGCCACTAGCACCAGATTAGAACTTTGATATTATATTGCATATTTTAAAATATCTACGCATGTGTTAGTGTACATGAAAATAAAATTTGGGGGCTCTTCTGAATCGAGGCCTTATGCAGTGACACCTTTTGCATACCTCAAGGTTGGCTCTGGTTTAGTGTTATAAATTTGGATGACCTAAGCATGAAGACTTTTGGACTTCTATGTCTAGACTACAAGATAGAGTTGGCCAATAGGAAAGGTAGTTCAGCCACTTAAACGATCACTTACACACAATTAATATTTGATTAGTTTAATTAGGTTGGAATTTTTGGAGGGTTGTTTTGGCAACGAATTATAAAGTCTACCCAAATATTCAAGTCAAACTGCAAGTTAAGGTGTTGAATTTTAATTGCATTTGCATTTCACATGTCATAGTCTCATGTTAGGATAAATGTGTTTAACCTTTTGTTTTAACCTTTAGAGCATTTTCAATGAAAATGTAAAAAATGCTAGGTGCACAAAAACGGATAGTTTTAGCATCAATAAAGGCTTCAACCGTGGAGCCAAATGCTAACTTGGATTGAAAAAGGTGCTCCCAGCGTAAAAAAATGACAAGAAGAGAGATTGATGCCAAATTATTTTTAATTTGATTAATGGTAGGACCCACAACGAATACAACTTATTTTGTTTATGTGAAATTGTTACTTTCAACCTTCTTTAATAAATAACTATTAAATATTACAAAAGAAAATAATATAAGAGAATTGTTATTGGTACTAAAGAAAATCTCAGTTTGCATTCTAAACTTTTTATAATTAGAAAAAAAAAAAACATTTTGTAAAGAATGTAGAATGAGATTTTGAGAGTGTTAATAACAATTCCCTAATATAAAATGAAACATTTTGACATATAGAGGCTACACACAAAATAGGCGCATAACATATGAACTTGTAAGTAAGAAGTTTTGCATGATTCCATATTTCCACATAAGCCACTCAAATTTAAATTTGATGTTTTATATTTGATATCCCTTTTGAATATGCTCTTAACTGTCATTGTATCAATAATCTATTATTATTGTTAGATATTTTGCATTGGTGAAATGCCTCATTTACCCTGATTTGTAACTGCCATAAGAGAGAAGCAATATGTTAGGAAGCTTCATAGCTCATTTATTCTCCCTCTCTATCTTTAGTTATTACTTGCTATACCATGCAAAGCATGCAACAATTTTATGGAGTTATCGGTTTTGTGATAGAAATTATTTCTATAATTTTTTAGGCTATATATCCAATCACCGAGTCGAATGAATTGATAATGACCAAATAACATAAATTAAGAGGAAGTGTGTGAAAGATAAAAATGAGTGTGTGAATAATATCATTTTAGAAAATGTTTAATAAACTTTGCTGGATCAATCATCACCTCAAATGTTTATATAGAAATTTTATTATCATTAAGGATAGAGAAGCAACTTTTAACGAGCACCCATAGTACTCAACTATCATACTTTAGTTTATCTAATACAGCAGGAAATATAATTATTTTGCATTTGTGGCTTGACTACATGTCCAAAACCACTGTTCAGATTTAGCAATGAAACACAGAGAGAAGCAGCTCAATAAATTTGCATGGTCCATCCCATCTTGTCCTCGACCATGCCTGTTTGAATCTCTGTAAGCATTACTCGCAACTTTTGAGAGATTGATTTTTCTCCAGTTCGGTATTCAACCCTGCATGTACATAATTAATTTTTGGCCATTCAACATAATAATTTATTGTCATTTAGTACTACGGTCTAATGATATTTCTATTTATTTGTAAGTGAGAGGCTTAGATCTGAATTTAGTGGATGACAAGTTTACAACCAATTTATTCCGCCATACAAATGTAAATATATCGTTTGTATAAAAATAAAAAATAAAAATTAACTAGCTATTGATCAAAATTCAAATGTTACATTATAAAGACTCAGTTGGTAATGCTTCAATGGAAAACACTTCTTATATCCAATTATGCTAGAAGTGTTTCTATAAACATTTCAAAATTCTTTTCAAAAATCAACGAGAAAACCACTTGGACATATTTCTTGAAGAAGCACACATAACAAGTACTTCTTTAGAAAACTGTTTTATGAAATCTGCACCTTTTAAACACTATTTATACCTTTTATCATGATGTGTTACACTAGCAACAGCAGTGACACCCACTGCAGTCCCTGTGCAGAACACTTCATCAGCTGTTAGCACATCCATTAGTGGAACATCACGTTCCTCCACCTGAATCAATTTTTCAAAAACAATAAATTAGATATTTTGTATGAGAAATAGTGACTGCAGAATTGCTTTTCATAAATAAAAGATTGTTTACCAGTATTTGTCGAATATTACTAGCCATACAAGGAATAATAGTTGATGAGGAAAGAAAAAGTTGCTTAATTACCTTGTACTTTAGATGAAGAGCAATTTCTATAATGCTTTTTCTTGTGATCCCTGGAAGAATAGTTCCATTGGTTGGTGGTGTTAAAATCACATTATCCTACAACACAAAATGAAATCAAGTTTATCATATCAAATTACAACAATACATATATTATTATGAAAATTCTATTGCCAAACAATTAATGTCGCAATTTGGTTTATTATGTTGTTGGTGTCTGATCCATCTTAAAAGAAAATTATTTTTCGAATCCGCAATTTGGATTAACTGTTCAGCAAACATGATATATCGAAATGTCTAGCAATATGAACAAAGTAACATTTTCTTGATCATAATGTTTTCCTTATTGCCTTGTGGATGTATAATAATTTATGTGATCGAATACGTAATTAATTTGTTACCCTAGCTAAATTATTATATTTTATGAGGGCTAATGACAATTCTAATCAGTACTACCTTCACAATGAAAACATTGCATGAAGAAACTTCCTCAACATTTTTTCCAGTGGCCGCGTCCAGAAATAAGACATCGGTGAACCCTTTTGCCTTAGCCTTGTTTACTGCTTCAAAAACCTACAGGAAATTGGAGCAAGAAAATCATTCATGAGAAACCCTAAATACATAATACAATAACGACACCACTAAGATCTCAAACAAATATATTTCCCAAAATCCCAACTCATCATCCAATCCTTCTTATTATGGAAGTAGGCCAATTTTGCTTACCGGTGAATAATTGGTGATGCTTTTAATGGCTCCGGTTCCACCAAGAGTAGCCCTAGGAACCTCATTCTCAACATACAAATTCATGCTAGGGCCACACTGTTATTTGAGCAAAATCAACAAGCACTTAGCAAAAGAACAGAAAAATGTGACATTGTAGCTTGTAAGTTGTCGGCATGCAACTTGGCATCATGTTACAAATATTCAAACCTAGTATGTCTTGGATTCAACTTCCATCAATAAGCACCAGAAACAATTCTTAAGAAGGAAGGAAGCCCCCACCTACCTTGTACCAATTTCCGATGGGAGAGGTGAATATAAGGAATGTGCATTCAGGGGCTGGTCCAATACCCAGAACAGCTCCACTTCCCATAAGTAGAGGCCTAATGTATAATGATCCTTTACCTGGTGGAGGCACCTGCATCAATCCAAAAAAGCGAATTCATAAACATGATTAATTGACTTAATGTCATAATTATATACAGGGATTGATGCTACATATGATTAAATATGACAGATTTTGAGATATTTTAACAAAAGTTGAGAAAAAAAATTCATGCAGTTACTTCTGATTTTCTTTGAAGGATGTTATTAACAATGTTGTCAATAAATATATATTTTCTTTCATTTCATCAAATTGTCAGTAAATGACGAATAAACAACTTTTGTTCACTAGATAAAATTGAAGGTTTCATACCCATCGCTGGTTGGCAAGGACAGTTTTTTTTACAGCATCAACAAATACATTAACTGGTGGGGATGGCATGCAGAGTCTGTCTGCTCCATTTTTCATGCGCAGGGCATTCAGTTCTGGCCTAAATAGTTGAATGCCACCATCTGGCCTTCGATATGCCTTCAGACCTTCAAACAATCCCTAATTAATGACACCACAAATTAATGGTTAATTAGTCGCTGGCAAATCTCTGTCTATTTTGATGTTAATAACATTGGCTTGCGTTGCAAGTAATGATACAAGAAAGATTACCTGCCCATAATTGAAAATTGCAGCAGATGGGCTTATCTCTATGTTTCCATAGCGACTTAGAGATCCTTCTGAGAAGTTATCTTTTCCAGAAATTTTCATGATATATATGTAGTCAGTTGGAGTGAGGCCAAACCCTAGCTTGTCCCAGTTGAAGTTGACATACGCTTCGTCATTATTTCTATTCAAATAAATGCATATACAAAAGAAAAGAAAAGGTAAAAGGTAAGACAATGAATACAAGTCTGAAGTTGAAAGAAAAATACAGTCAAATTGTTGATTAACTAAGATGAATAATAAGGGGTAATGTAAGTCGCGTGATATGGGGTATGTTCTCTCGTAATTTTTCAAACCGTGAATTTGAAGTCTGGCAAATAACATACCGTGTTTTGTCAAGTGAACATTACCTCGTGCAAGGTCAAAAGTTTCATCATATCATACAACGATGATAAATTATCAAAACCTAAAATTATTTAGTGGAAGAAAATAATCGCATTTATGAGGAAAGGAGATGAAAAATAAACCTAGTATCCATAGGTGGCTGTGATTAATGTACTCTTTGAGAATCTGCAATTAGGGTGGATCACGCAGAACAAGTACTCTTGGAAGAAAAGAAAGCAAGTGTTGAAGGTAGTCTAAAACTCTCAAGTTTGCCTAAATATATATATGTAGGGAAGAGGTTGAACCAAAAAACAAAAAAAAGACTCCACAACACAATGACAGCGTAACATGTAAGATGTGATCTGGAAGCTACTTGAAATTACTGGTCATCGTGTTATTTAATTGTTTCCTTTGTTGTTCTTGCTTTGGTACATTTGACTGTTTCTGAAATTATTTGCTAATAATTTATTTACTTTCAATATAAAGGTTCCCTATTTTTTTGGGAGGAAGTTAGGTAGGCCACTCACTAGGCCGTTTACAAGAAACAAACTAGGCTGACTTCTCTAAAATTTGAGCAAATACCTGTGGGACTAATTGGGAGCGTTATATAGTCAGTTATTGACCAAAAAAGAAAACGGACAGAAACTTCAGTTGAACGTTGACTTTGGGTTCAAATGACACGCTATTTGCAGTCACTTAGAAGTTTGTACACAATTTTGTGCAAGGCCGGCCCTGAGAATTTGGGGGCCCTAGCCGAGTCTTCAAAGTGGGGCCCTAAAGTTCTCAAACCTTTGACTCTTTGTATATTGGTATATAGTAAAACGAATTTACTAATTACATAAAATGTCTATTTCTTCGTCGAATATCATTAAAAATTAATATCAAAAGAAAAAAGATGTACTAACATTACTTAATATTACATGTCACATGTCTTTAGACGCAAATGCACTAAGTGTTTGCAGTCAAGAGTCTAAGTATTGGTTTGGTACTGAGGTGATTTTATAAAAAGTGGGTATAAAAAAAAAACTGAGCTCAAAAAGGTGTTTGGTAAACACTTAAAAACAACTTATTTTCACAATTTTGGATGAAAATAAGCTGAAACCGTGAAACAACAAAAATGAGCTTACTCTCACAGCACATCAGACACAGTTTTTCTTTTCAAAGCATAGCAATACTAAACCAGCCCAAGATTGAGAGTGAAGAGCAATAAAACTTGATGATCAAGAGAGTAAAAACAATAAAACTTGATTGACGAATATAATAATCAACAACGCCAAGTGGTTCTCTTGTATTCTTTCTAAAATCAACACACACTAGCGAATCAAATTTTAGAATAACCTTGTTTAACAATAAATTATTGAAAAAGAAAATTTAAATTCAAAGTTATGGTTACCTCAAATTCCAATCTTCAGAACCAAGTGATAGTTCCTTAAACATTCAATAGAAATAGAAAGATTGGGAAGTTGAAAGAAAAAAGATTACAAAGTTATGATTATTATGGGTTTTGTTATTTTTTTAGGTTATTATCAAAAGCAAAAGAAAAAAAAAATGCATTTGGACAAATTGAGGCCATTAATTTCACTAACCTATTGTGCGTGTGACAATTGACCTTTGTATATTTTTTATTTAAGAAACTCAAGTTTTTTCTATTTATAAAATTTTTATTCAAAATATTTTTGAAAATAAATAAGAATTTAAACATAAACCACCCACTAACATGAAGTTTTGTTATGTTGTTTCTAAAATTGACAATTTTAAATTCATTCAAAATTAATATTTGTTGAATTATTTTAACTCCTTTTGATTCTTGTAATTTTAAAATTTTTAAAGAGCAATTTATCTTTAATTTTAATCTTTAATTTCATAGATTTGAAAAAAGCAAAAACTAATGCCTACGAGGAACTGCCCACCCCAATGAAAACGGGGTGGAACAGTTTCCACTGCACCAACGAAATAATTGTGATGTTTCTTACGTTTTCTTTATTTATATTTTATATACAGGATGTATAAAAAAATTTGGGGCCCCTCGAACTTGGGGGCCCTAGGCAACCGCCTACCTCGGCTACCCTCAGGGCTGGCCTTGGCAACCCACCCCAATGAAAACGAAGTGGAACAGTTTCCACTGCACCAACGAAATAATTGTGATGTTTCTTACGTTTTCTTTGTTTATATTTTTTTTGTTTGAGTACAAGTGAGACACTACCACGAAGGAGAGGATTTGAATTCAGGACACAATGTGTAAAAGATGAATGCTTTAATCATCAGGACAATTCATTGCTTACATTTTTGTGAAAGATTAGTAGTGTTGTCATTTGCATTCCTTCATTGGGGTGGAAAATACTTCTTAAAGCATGAAGTTTTCTTATCCCTTAATTACTTGGTGAATTTAAAAACACAAAAATAACTCACTAAATTAACATCGCATTAATGACTTGTTTGAATTTACTCCATAATTCAAGTAATATACCTAACAAAAAGTGGTTTAATAAAAAAGTTTAATTTATCGAACTATGATGAAACCACATGCTACTCCTAACGAAAATAATGCTCTCTAGGGTTTCTTAAGGTTTCCTACGTATCACTAGGAGAGCGACAACAAGTCTGATTCGGCGGCAGCATCGTAGTCACGTTGGTTTAGAAGGCTCTACTACAATTCCAGTTACAGTTATAGTTTCAAGCTCAGATGTAGAAGATTCAAATTGCAGTCAATCCATTGCTACACCAACAACACAGCCTTTGTTTTCTACACTCTCTGTGGTACTTGAATTTCAACGTGAACAATTTGTAAGTGGTTTTCTCCATTCCTCCAGTTAATCTCCACCCTATGAAGACAAGGTCAAAGAGTGCCATTGTTAAGAAGATTGCTCTTGTTGCTGTTGTTCATGAAAATGGAGGAGTTGACTTGACTCAAGTTGAACTTGCAACATACAAATCTGCCTTAAAAACTCTAGTATGGCATGAGGCTATGAAAGATGAGATTTTAGCATTACACAATCAAGGTACATGGTCTTTGGTTCCCCTACCAAAACACAAGAACTTAGTTGGTTGCAAATGGGTCTTTAAGATAAAAAAGAATGCTGATGGATCAATTGGGAGGTATAAGGCACGACTAGTAGCTAAAAGCTTTAATCAAGAAGAAGGGATTGACTATGGGGAGACTTTTAGTCCAATTGTTAAACCAACAACAGTGAGATTAGTTTTAGCTTTGTAAGCACACTTTGGTTGGACATTGAGACAATTGGATGTGAAAATTGCCTTCCTTCATGGCATATTGCAAGAAGAGGTGTACATGGCACAACCACCTGGATTTGTTGATATCAAACATGAAGATTAGGTTTACAGATTACATAAGTCTTTATATGGATTGAAACAGGCACCAAGGGCTTGGAATGAGAGATTCACCAATTTTCTACCATCTTTGGGATTCAAATCCACATATGCAGATTCATCATTGTTTGTGAAAGTTGTTGACAGCTCTGTGGTAATTTTACTCTTATATGTGGATGATAATATTATCACTGGCAGTGCAACCCAAGCAATCACTGAGGTTATTCATTCACTTATTAGGGAGTTTGATATGAAAGACTTGGGACCACTACACTATTTTCTAGGGATTCAAATTATGTAGAAGAATGATGGCTTGTTTCTCTCTCAAGACAAGTATGTTACAGATTTGTTAACTAAGTCTGAAATGTTGCTGTCTAAACCATGTGCTACTTCAAGTTTGCCCTACAACAGATTGCTCAAAGATGAAGGGAAACCGTATAATAATCCTGCCCTTTATAGATGTTTAGTTGGAGCTTTACAGTACTTGACATTTACTAGACTTAACATTGCATTTGTAGTGCATCAAGTCTGTCAGATTATGCAAAACCCTATGGAGTCACATTTCATGGTAATTAAAAGGATCCTTAGTTACTTAAGAGCTACTCAAGGTTGTGGAATTCATTATGTCAAGAGTTCACTGGATATTACTGCATAGAGTGATGCAAACTCGGCTGAACATCCTAATGATAGAAGATCAACTACTGGAATGGTTGTATTTTTGGGGTTTAATCCCATTTCGTGGTCATCTAAGAAGCAAAATACTGTCTCTCGCTTATCCACAGAAGCTAAATATCAGGCTCTATCTACTACAACTGTTGAACTTAATTGCATCAAACAACAGTTGCATTTTCTGCATATTGTAGAAAAGCCACTTCTCTTCTGTGACAATTTATCTGCCATAGCACTGACTTTAAATCCAATCTAGCATCAACGTACAACACATAGAGGTTGATGTGCATTTTATTCTAGAGAGGGTAGCAAAACAACAATTGCAAGTGCATTTTGTGTCTTCAAACGAGTAGTTTACTGATATACTAACCAAATGACTATCTACTCCTTTTTTTTTTTTTTCCAGATTCATTGTGCCAATCTTAGGCTTAAATTCTCTGCCCCTTAGCTTAAGGTGGGATGTTAAGAATTTTAAGATCCAATGGTTATGAAATGGACAAGTGTCAAAAGGTTATGAAGTTAGTTAAGTTGGTTATATTGTTACTTAGAGTGTAAGCTACCAAATGCTATTATATATATAGCTCGTAACAAACCATTGTAACTGATAAGAAAAGATACTACAATTCTCAACAGATTCTTCTCTCTAATTTCTGAATCTTCTACTTCTCCCTCTATTTCTTTCTTGTTTCTTGCTTCTGTATAACCTTCTTCTTCAATAACCTCTAATAGTTTACACTACCGTTGGTATGACTGCATTTACAATAAAGGCCTTTTATTCATGTATGTTGTTCGATCTCGGATATTGCTTTGAGATTTATACATATGTTGTTATTACATTGGCTGTTTGAATGGTTGTGCTATGTACATCGGTTGCATTGCAATGAAAGGTTGGCTGCCAACCCAGTGTGTAATCATTGAATGTTGTCATTTCCTCACGAACCGGTATAAAGATAGTGTGGCGATGAGGATGTGATCCTTCGGGTTTTCGTTGCTTTACAAATGATTGTACACAACCTTTCTTGTTTTAAACATGAACAGACATGACTATCCAAAGGTCAGTGTGATATATGATGTCACTGCGAAGTGAGTTTTCCTTGACTCATGATTATTCATAAAGAAATCAATTTGACATTTTGTTGTGACAATAAAAGTGACGTTTGAAGTCAAAACATTTTGGTCTTCGGAAAGGAAAAGACTAGACATTAAAATGTGGGATATTTGAAAAAAAAAATGAATTAGATATGATGATGCTTATTAAGTAAGCATATGAATGTTCATGCATGTTAGTCATAAGAAGGAAAGGATAAAAGCCAAGAATTGTTTTTCCCATAATGGCTAGTGAGGCATGAAGGCCTAAGAAGATAGATGTATAAGGTCTATCCTAGTTGTTTCTACTTCTTAAAAGAAAAAAAAAAGAAAAAAAGAAAGAAAAGGTGATCGATTTAACGATGATGTTAAAATTAACCACAATTATCGAATAATTGTGGACGTAGCTTATCTATTTTCAAGATATGAAATTTATTTAAGAAGAATGGAAATATAATTTGCTAATTGGATAAGACAATCAAAATGTCATCTCTTGTAATGAGTAATTATTTAAGGTATGGCAAGGTTGGGAACCTTCTTATAAATATCTTAAATGTGGGGGAGTTTGCTCAAGTGTTAGCAAATTACTTATCAAGTGCGAACGCATGTTTGGAGGAATTACATTGGAAAACAACTACTCTAAAAGGAAATAATTTCCATGCATGGATATAAAGTTTGTGATGGCCATATAATGAGAAGTCAACCTAGTGGTACCAATTTTTAAAGGTTTGACCAGAGAGTAAGTTGTATCATCGAGGGGAATGGGTTAAAAACCTACGTCTTAAGAATCGCCATAATGGCAACCCAACCTAGTTGACTGGAGATCCCAAGATCTAGGTTCAAAGGGACAATCGAGATGATTCAAAGGGAGCATTGCGGAGATTACCTCCTACCCATGTCCTATGATGAAACAGTGTTATCTGCGGCGTATTTAGGATAAGCATTGCTTTTAATGATTCCTATACTTGGAAATAACAAGCCGGGTATTGCAGGATACTCTTAATGGGAAGTCACCTATCTTGAGTGAGGAATGGGACCATTCCTGTGAGAATTTTTTGAAGGGCTTAGTTTTCTAAAAGCACTTATGAGAAACCAAGAATTGTTCAGGGCAAAAATGAACATAACCAAGCAACAACGGGGTGTCTGGAAGGGTATTGTGTGATTACTATTGTCTTGGTTTCACAAACGGTTAAGCAGTCCAAGATATCGCGTTCATTGATTAGCCAAGTAAATCTGATAGTAATTCACTACGGAAGGTTCAAAGCTAAAAGCCACCTATCCTGATAGAGTACTTTTCCTTCTTAATTCTCTCTCTAGTGTCTACATTGTCATTTGCATGGTAATGAGTCAATTTCCATTCTTGTGGGGGATTGTTGAAAAATTTAATAATAATAATATTATATTAAATTTATTAATTGAATGGAAATTAGACGTGGAGCCTTTTGGTAGAAAGATTTGTTTACTCAAATGAAGAGTTGCAACTTTTGACTCTTTAAGAATAGTCACATGCTTTCCAAAAATGTATCTCACATTCTATAAATAGGGAAGCCCCCTATAATCACAAAATAACTTTTCATTGTTTTACATAATCATACATAGAGTGCACTAAGTATTAAAGAGTCTCATTGAGTCCATATGAGAGAGTTTTCAACACAAGCGTGGTTCATGGAGCCTTGTGATTTGGAGTGCTACTATTACAAGGACATGGTCATTGTATCTTAGGAGACATGCACCGATCAACCATGAACACCGTAGTGGGGCGTAAACTTGTCTTAAGGAAAAAGTGTCCAACTCTTGTCTCGACCGCATTTTCTAGGTTTTTCTAATTCATTATATCATGTTCATTTAACATTGATTACTCATGTGCATGCATTATTGTGATATATAATTGCATGAATTATTTCTTGATTTTCTATGTGATTTATTATAGCAATTAGACCCTAATTATGCCAATAAATAATGCATCTTTAGCGACCTAAGGCTTGAGTGTCGATTGTAGAGTTGGAAGAAGACCTATTTTCGTTTGGTTTCGATAACCAACGAGAGAGAGTGATGGTACTGAAAGGTGGACCTTGGTTGTACGATGGGGCGTTACTAGTTTTGGCTGAGGCCAATACATTGGCTTATCCCAGTCGGATTGCCCTTAATGCTTAGGAATTTTGGATTCAAATCAAGGGTTTGCCTCTAGCATACATGACCTGCCACATGGGGCAATTCATTGGCTATTAAATAGGCGAGCATGTGCTCACTGATCAAAGTAGAGGGGCCGATATTCAAGGGAGGATTTTGCATATTCGTTTTGCCCTTGATATTACGAAACCTTTGAGGAGAAAGTTTGTTATTATCTATTGAGGGTTCTTTGGTGAGCATTGATATTCGATATGCGAAACTACCAGTTACTTGCTTTATCTGTGGGATAATTGGGCATATAAAGGAGCAATGCGATCAGTTTAAGGGGAAAAACGAGGATGATCTTTCAAAACTCTACGGTAGGTGGTTTCAGAGTGATGTTCTTCCTAGTTATCGTAAACCCCAAGGCACTCACTTCGGTTTAGGTCTATCACCAAGGTGGTCCATGAAAGTGCTAGTGGATGTTGAGGATAAGGACAAAGAGCCAGGGTTAGCTGGTCATATTCCAGGGAAGGTAACGGATGGCGGGGTGGTGACCAGGTTGAGGGAGTTGGTTTGCTATTTTCAAGGGCATGAGCGTGAGTTAAGGGATCTTTATGGTGAAGGTATCATACCTGACTTGAATGCGGATTTGATTTCTGATTTGGAGCTGAAGGAGATAGTTATTGATTCCTTAGCCATCGTTCCTTATCAGGAGATCCCTATGATTACGGTTGTTGGGAGGGATATTATTGAGGACACGTCCATTAGCTCTGGAAGCTTGTGTTTATTTGGTATTGATTTGAATGATGTGCTATATGGTGAAGATTGTTCCTCAAATCAAGAACCTTAGCTAAGGTGTGGGCCTTTCAGTGATATGGTAGATAGTGGTTTGGAATTAGGTGGGCTTTGTCTTTTTTTTCCAAATCAGGCCCGAGTCAGAATGTTGCCCCTATGAACCTTGTTGTGAATCATAACCCGTCCACAGAAAGTTCGCATTTTTCTGGGGTTAGGCACTTTGAATTGGGCTCGAATCCTTTCAATATTATGCCTATCATTGAGCAGCTTCAGCATAAGAAAAGGAAGAACTCATGTAGACATCGTAGAAAGGGTGAGTTGTTCATGGGTATCTCAATTTCCAATCCCTAAGCTATGATTGGGTTGACATTACCGGAACTTAGTAAATGTATTTAAAGGGAAGGTCAGGAGTTCGAGGTCCCGCCCCCTTCCCCAGAAGGGCGTAGGAAACTCATGGATAAGATGAAGTCTATTATTTTATTAGCAGAGGTTGATAAAGATCAACCCCGCCGGGAGCAATGAGTTGCTTGAGTTCGAACTGCCGGGGGCTTGAGAACCTCTGTGCAGTTCATGCGCTTCAATGCCTAATCTATAGTAAAGATCCCACGGTAGTGTTCCTATACGAGACTAAAAGCAATGCTCGTCAGATGGAACATCTACGCTTGAAATTGAATTTTGATAGAAGTTTTACAGTAGATAGTAGAGGTAGCTCCGATGTGCTGTGTGTGCTATGGAAGGAAAAGCTCAACTTGAATTTGCGGTCTTTCTCGTAGGATTGTTAGGGTGCCTGGGACTGTGAAATATTGGAGGTTTACTGGCTTTTATGGTTTTTCGGCAGTAAGTGGTCGTGTTAAGCCTTGGCAGCTACTTGGAACATTATGTGGGAATGCATCTCATCCTTGGCTCTATATTGATGATTTTAATGAGATTCTCAAATCTCATGAACAGGAAGGGGGAAATCGTATGAGTAATGAACAAATGGAGGGTTTTCAGGATGTGGTGAAAACGTGTAGATTCATTGACTTGGGCTATTCTGGGAATAAGTACACTTGGTTTACTATGCGAGGCGATGATATTAAGGTACGGTTTGATCCTGCATTGGGTACTCAAGAGTGGGTTGACCTTTTCCCATAATTTAGTGTGCAGCATTTGAATAAGACTTCTTCTGATCATGTTCTAGTTTTCTTAACTTAGGAAGTAATTTTATCCGAGGGAAGAGATATTTCTAATACGAAGAGGCTTGGAACATGCATGAAGGTTGTGCCGAGGTGGTTAAGAATTGGTGAGAGTTAAATATGGATGGTTCACCCATTTTTCAGGTCATGAAAAAGATCAAAGCAACATGGATGATGTTGACAAATTGGGCTAGTAGTAATGCCAAGACGGGGCCGCGAGAGATTAGGGAAGTTGAAGACAAGCTTACCAGTTTATTGGGTCATCATTTCAAAGAAGATTTTATTGAGCAGAAGAAATCCCTTATTGGAAGGTTTAACTTCCTGTTAGAATAAGAGGAATTATTTTAGAGCCAAAGGGCGAAGGAGAATTGGGTCCAGCTTGGTGATCAGAACACTAAGTATTTCCACCAGAAAGCTAATAGAAGACAAAAGCAAAATTATTTGCATGGATTGATGGATAAGGAGGGTCTGTGGCATGAGGACCCAGGGGGTATGGAATGTGTGGTGGTTAATTATTTCACCACGTTATTCAAGGCTTCTGAGGTAGTTGACTTTGAAGATATCTTATGCAAGGTTACACCGTCAGTTATGGTAGAGATGAACTCTGAACTCGGGAGGCCTATCATGGATGATGAGGTAAAGTGTGCTGTTTTTCAAATGCAGCCCACAAGAGCTCCCGGTCCTGATGGCATGTCACCTGGCTTCTATCAAAAGCATTGGGCGACTATAAGGGCTGATGTGTGTAATGGTATCCGAGAAATGGTGTCATTAGGACGTATCTTTCGAAAAATTAACTATACACATGTTATTATCATAAAATATTGGCGAAAGTTTTAGCGAATAGAATGAAGACCATTCTCCCTTACATCATTTCCCCTACTCAAAGTGCTTTCATTCCAAGAAGGCTGACTTCAGATAATTATTTAGTAGCAGTAGAAGTTGTTCATTACATGTATAAAAAGACTTCAGGGTTGAATGGGCATATGGCTTTAAAACTGGATATTAGTAAGGTGTATGATAGATTGGAATGGATATTCTTGGAGGCTATAATGCGGTGCATGGGGTTTTCTTCGATTTGGATCCATACGGTAATGATGTGTATGTCTACCCTGACTTTTTCTTTCAAACTGAATGAGGATCCAGTTGGGTATGTGAAGCTTGGTAGGTGAGTTCGAGAAGGGGATCTTTTTTCCTTCTACTTATTTGTTATGTGTGTCCAAGAATTGTCGGCTCTCCTCAAGTCAGTGGAAGCTGATGGTGTTCTGAAAGGTATCACGGTTTGTTGCCAGGCCCCAAGTATTCATCATCTCTTTTTTTGTGCAGATGATAGCTTTCTGTTTGCTCGGCTTACATTACAGGAATGTCAAAGTATCAAACAGATTCTTCGAGTGTATGAGAAAAGTTGTGTGTCTTTTAGTAATAATCTTCCCATTGTTGACAAACAACTCCTTGCTAACTATTTGGGAGTGACGATAGTAGAGTTCCATGATATGTACTTAAGCCTACTGGTCCTTATTCAAAAGTCAAAGAAGGAAACTTTCGCCTATGTCAAGGATAGGCTTTGGAAAAAACTTCAAAGTTGGCTTGGGGGCCTGTTGAGTTGTGTGGGTAGGGAGTTGTTTGTAAAGACCATGGTGCAGACGCTTCCTAAGTATTCCATGCAATGTTTTCTTCTTCCTAAATCGTTTTGTGAAGAGTTGAATATTATGTTGCACAATTTTGGTTATGTGGTGATTTGGGAAAGAGGAAAATACATTGGCTTAACTGGAGACAACTGTGTAAGCCTAAATTCGTATGGGGGTTGGGATTCAAGGA